ACCAGACGCAGGGACCGGAGGAGACGCAGTGGTCAGTGTGTACAGGCTCGACCCCGGCCGACGTGTAAACGTGGCCAGGTGTCGGCCTGTCCGAGCGTCCGTGCAGTGGGTCACCCGCTGACTCGCAGGAGTGAACTGGTGAACCCCCGCATCCTGTAGGTCAGCACCACTCACCAAGTTCGTAGAGAACGAGGGGAGGTAAAGACCAGACAGGGTGCCAGAGGGGGCCGCCGGACACGGGAGGACAGTGGAGAAGTGAGCAAGGACAGGACCCCTAGAGGGGTCTGCCAGAGAGACCGCAACTGGCCGGCCAAGCGGCGTGAGTGTGGTGCGGTCTCGAAAGAAGGAGCGAGAAGCCCCCGAGTCAAGGGTAAAGGTGTGGGAGGCCGAAGCCGACGCAGAACCTGAGAGAGCAGACTCACCAGTACCTGAGGGAGCAGACGCACCTAGAGCAGCAGCCTCGCTAGCACCTAGAGCAGCAGCCTCACCAGGACCTAGAGCAGCAGTCTCAATGCCCGGGTCGGGCGGAAAACACTGGTAACAGTCACCCTCATCACTAATAGTCACAGTATACATGGCAGCAAGAATAGCATCAAAGTCAAGGTCAAAGACAGCTACACCCGCCCTAGACAGCTCACCCCAGCGGGGGATCTCAGTGGCCTCAGGGAACTGGTGACGCCAAGCGTCCGTCAGGCGGCCAAAGCAGCGCTGGGTGGAGTGCGCACCCCCGCACTGCTCACCCGCGCGGTCGCCGTTGCGCAGGACGTAGGTGCACGGACCAGTACCCCCACCCCTCTGGCGTGCAGTGTACCACTCACGGAGCTGCTGAGGGGAGGGGACGTCACGAGTGCGCTGCTGCTGCTGCTGCTGCTGCTGCTGGCGCTGACCACCACCGGAGCTGACCCTCTGCGCAGCGCCACCCCGACCAGCTCCACCTCCTCCGCCGCCTCCTCCTCCACCGCCGCCACCTCCGCTCCCTCCGCCACCGCCGCTGCCGCCTGCGCCTCCACTGCCGCCACCTACACCTCCACCCCCGCCACCACCCCCACCGCCACCCCCACCTCCTCCACCGCCTCCACCGCCGCCTCCACCGCCCCCGCTAGCTCCTCCAGCGCCCCTGCCCCCCTTGCCCCTGCCAGGGCGGCGTCTCCCGCTAGGGGTAGACGCTGCCCCAACCGACTCCAAACCAGCGAGGTCGGCCGCAGCAGCAGAGGCAACAGAGGGCAAAAGAGGGGAGGGGGAACACCCCTCAAAGATGGGGGTGCGAGGGTCACCACGAGAGGCTCCTACAGCGACTATGCTCTTTTCTGCTGCTAGGAGGGCCTTCTCGAGGAGGTCAACGGTGAGAGTGGTGGGACAGACCGAGAGGAAGTGGTCCCTGACTACGCGAAGGGAGTCAGGGAGACGGGTGACTATGTAGTAGAGGGTGATGTACATGAGGGGGGGGTTCTTGGCGCAGAACTCAGCAGGAAGCGCAGCGCGGTAGCGAGTGTCACTAGTGCGGAGGTGCGTAATGAGGTCAGCGACTGTGGGAAAGGCAGCAAGGTCAGGGAAGAGGTACGGTAGCATGAGGCGGCTCAGTGCAGCAGTGGCAGGGGAGGAGTAGCGTGCAACTACAGCGTCGTACAAGGTCTGAGCACTCTTGTACTGGCTAAAGTGCGCACGCTCAGAGGTAGGTAGGTGGCGACGCACAGCAAGACGCGCAGCAGCATCGCGCGTGGCCCACTGTGAGCAAACAGTGGCGTCAGCATCAGCAGCGGGGGCAGGAGAGGCACCAGAAGTGAGGTCAAAGAGGGAGAGGCCGTCTGCTCTGTCGCACTGTAAGAAAAGCTGCAGGTCATCTATCCAGACGTCAAAGTCAATGGCCCGACCCTCAGCGTCAAAAGCGAGGAAACTAGGGGTAGCCATGACAGCAGTAGACTAGCAGTGCAAACAGTAGGGTGAGGGCAGTGCTGTGAGAGAGGCGCTGCTCTTACCGGACAGGGCGGTTCGGGCGGCTCGGCTGCAGGGCGGCTCGGCGACTCGACGGCTGGGCGGCTCGGCTGCTGGGCGGCTCGGCGGCTCGGCGGCTCGGCGGCTGGGCGGCTCGGCGGCGGGGCGGCTCGGCTGCTGGGCGGCTCGGCTGCTGGGCGTATCGGCGGCAGGGCGGCTCGGCTGCTGGGCGGCTCGGCTGCTGGGCGGCTCGGCGGCTGAGCGGCTCGGCTGCTGGGCGGCTCGGCGGCTGGGCGGCTCGGTTGCTGGGCGGCTCGGCGGCTCAGCGGCTGGGCTGCTCGGTTGCTGGGCGGCTCGGCGGGTGGGCTGCTCGTAGGAGTAGGCGCGGGGGCCGTAGGAGCAGGCGCCGGGGCCGTAGGAGCAGGGGCCGGAGGCCGCTAGGGCGGCGGATCGGGGCCGCGAAGGCGGCGGATCGGGGCCGCGAGGGCGGCGGAGTAGGGGCCGCGAGCGCGGCGGAGAAGGGGCCGCGAGGGCGGCGGATCGGGGCCGCGAGGGCGGCGAATCGGGGCCGCGAGGGCGGCGGAGTAGGGGCCGCGAGGGCGGCGGATCGGGGCCGCGAAGGGCGGCGGATCGGGGCCGCGAGGGCGGCGGAGCGGGGCCGCGAGGGCGGCGGATCGGGGCCGCGAAGGGTGGCGGATCGGGGCCGCGAGGGCGGCGGAGCGGGGCCGCGAGGGCGGCGGATACGGGCCGCGAGCGCGGCTGAGAAGGGGCCGCGAGGGCGGCGGATCGGGGCCGCGAAGGGCGGTGGATCGGGGCCGCGAGGGCGGCGGATCGGGACCGCGAGGGCGGCGGAGTAGGGGCCGCGAAGGGCGGCGGATAGAGCCGCGAGGGCGGCTCGAAGGGGCCGCGAGGGCGGCGCTAAGGGGCCGCTAGGGCGGCGCGAGAGAGGGGAGCGCGACTCGGGCAGGGGCTGAGTGCGCTCCGGGCAGGAAAAAAAACGGTGGGCCCTAGGAACAGTTCCCACGGGGGAACCTGCTCGATACCATGAGAAGAAACAAGGAATGAATGAACTATGAATGAATTGAGTACAAGTAATAACCCTAATTGGGTTGTACCCCTTATGGGCTACCCCACTATAGCCTACACAATATGCATGAGCTATAATGTTCTGACAATTTCGTCAGACTATTTCACCTCGTTCAGCGTGGATTTTTCCAGGGTGGCGCGATTGTGGTGGGGCGATGCAGCAATTCCAGCTTTTGACACCTCAGCAGAAATTTGGCAGTTGCTGGCGCTGGACCAGTGACAGGCAAAGTTGCCGTAACCTTCTCCTTCCCTCCGTCCCACCTCACACTTCCCTCTCCTCCCACCTCTTGTTACTCGCGCTTTCCATTTCTTCTCCCTCAGTCTGCTTGGCTTCGATCGAGTTAGGGTTCTACTTACTCTCATCTCGCTGTTTCTCTCCTAAAGTTTTCCGCAGCCACCCTAGCTAAAGACATATCGCTGCTTTTAACAGTATCTTAGTTACGACTAGAGTAATTACCTGTTTCTTTTCCTGCACTATCGCACCGTCGTGTTTCGTTTTTGTGACTTAGTCGTAACTGTTTTCTCGTTATGTTTTGTGTCGATACAGAGAAGAGTAATTGCCGAGCAGGTAATTATGTTTTCTATAAGCCCTGTCCTTCATGTGTTAGTGATTTTGTGAAACTAACGTCCTAGTTATGTTTTTTGGCAGATCGACTTGGCTGTGAGGTTCTTAGCGGCTTCGATTGCATGTCCTTATCGACATGTCGCATTGGTGTCGCTTAGTGCCAACAGTATGGGCATGCTATTTGATTTACTGCCGGCGCCAGCACCAGGTACGTTATGCACCCCATTTGCAAGCTTCGTTTTGTTTTGTCAAGTACTAACGAATCATCGCTGTTTGCGGCCTTGTGCTTAGTGTACCAGCATTCCAGGGGCTGTGTTATAAACCTTGTATATATTTGTCACGCATGCTTTTCTATGTATGGTCAGTAGCTATCCTGAAATCAAGTTGATTTTGTGCCATGGAAATTGTTAAGAGCCCATTGTAAGCATGTTAAATTAAGCGGCCCGAGCTTTTAATGGATATTTGTATTTATATTTGAAAAGAATTTGACGCCTCCTCCCTCCCTGTAGAAACTTGCCTAATTCAATGGAAATCCAAAACTCATTTGCTAATAAAGAAATTAACACTGAATTGATTTCTGGAATATTTTGTGTAGTGTAGATTATTTAAGAAGTTACAATACAGTAGGTGTAGTTTATTCAATTTATTTCGAACCAAATCGAATTCTCGAAGCGCGGTCAAAGTTCGAAACCAGACGGAAATCACACCGAAACCATTCGGAACCGAACCACTGAAAAGGGCCGAGGTAGCGCCTGTAAAGCACATGAATTACAGTCAAGCCACTGCCTTGGTTTCAGACGGAAAAAGTCCCTGTTTTTCAGTCTGATTTCAGCCGCGAGTCCTGAACGCGGGCTGAAAACCAGCTGAAATTAGGACCTGGTTTTTGCGATGAAGACCTGCACCAAAGTCTCCGGAAAACAATAGCCCAAAAATGCAACTTTCCTCTCATATGTCTAAGTCCCGGACACTCAGCCGTGCGTGGGTGAGATTGGACATTGGCGCCTCGGCTTGCCCAATCCGCCAAGCCGCACGACGAAACTCGCACATTTGAGACGCGACGCGGCATGCACGTGCACCACGTCCTCGCATACAGAGTGGTTCCGACGTGCGCTTGGATACAACCAGGGTTGTGTACACCAACCACTAAACCACACAGAAACAGCATTCACAATTCATAACCCGTAAGTGCTTTATTTGTTGGCACACACACCACTCACACACAGGTTTCTGACTCAACACATATCTGGTGATCAACGTTTATATATTTATAAGGGTTCATCACAGCACACGCGTACCCCAGGTCAACTACACTAACCCTCACGTCACACAGCTTACACCGCGTCAAAACCAGATCCCGTGCCCAAGAAAAAACCAAAGTATCCAAACAACATAAGCACAACACCGTCGCTGAGTACAACTACACCACGCGGACAACACTCTCTTTGTCATCCTCCACAGGGAACAACACGGTTGCCTTCTGAACGGGTGCATCCTCCGCCGAACCGTCAGAAGTAACCCCTTCGGAGCTTGTACTACCGCCCCAATTGCGCTTAGTATGCGTGCGGCGGAGGCGGCTCACCACCTCCTCATTCACCACACCGACCTCCTCTGGAACATCTCGCGGATGTATTCCCAGCCTCTCCGCCTCCTTCACGAAGCCTCCATGCACCATGCGCCCAACACGGCGACAGCTGCGACTGTCCCGCATTAGAGGCCCCTCAGGGATGCAAAAGTAGGCCGGAATCTCCTCCTCATCCCCGGTGTCCCCGGCACCCGCCGGCTTCCACTTCTCGAGGAGGTCTTCGTCACACTCCACGAAATCCCACGCCGTCATGAACGCCCTGCTGCTGCACTTGCTCTTGAACTCCTCGATGAGGAGCTGCAACTGCGTCAGATCCAAGACCAGACATTCGAACATGCTGGCCGCACCTCTCCCTTTCAAGCAGTCCATACGCGCCAGCCAGCCCTTCGGAACGCACCCGGCTCTCCACCAGCTCCTCTGGATTGTGCCCGGCATCGTCAACTTGGCCGCCATGAACAGCTTGTACAGGACATCGGGCAGCGGAGGTCGTGGAAACACACCGTCTCGGACCCACTCGGTGTTGCGAACCGCGTCGCGCATGAACCACGTTCGGAACACCGCTTTGAGCGCGTCCACCACTCCATTGAAGGCTGTGAACGCACACGCGGGCACCACACCAGCCGTCTGCACAACTCGCACGCGGGTAAACTCCTCCACAATAAACCCCGCCACGTTGCTAGTCTGCTTCACACAACCGGTCAGCGTGTGCGCCGGGTTGTGTACGAGCACCACCGCCTTCTCGTTCTTCGCGTGCAGATCAGCGTTGAGATCGTCAATGTACTGCGTGAACAACTGCGCACACATCACCAAAATTTTAGGGCGGGATAACATGCGCGCGCACTGACCAAGACGAAGGAACGACGCGACCAACACGTGCAGCCCCATCTACGGACGCATACCAACTCACCCACATACCTCGCTAGAGAAACGGCCATTCTTAGCGTAGCGGACTTGGACATCATGGCGCCGCTTGCGACCCTCGTGTAAGAGCCTCTTGTCGTCCCGTCGAAGAACCACGAGCGGTGGCTTGCGGATACTTCCGGTCGCGTTGTAACAAAAGCACACAGGCATGTGCCACTCGCGCGACACCTGTTCACGATCGTCCTGAGACGCGCCCACCGGAACCAGTGTAGGGATGAGCGGAAATTCGGTGAAAGCATACACCTTCTCAGGCGGAGCCTGCAGAGCCTCAAGAAGGGTCACCAGGTAAGCCATGTCGAGAGCATACAGAATACAAACTGTATCCGTAGTCCCGCGCCGTAACACTAAATCGCCCCAAATGCATCACACCGGAAGACAGTAACCTCGGCGACTGAGGCCCACAACCTGCCACCTCAGCGTGTCAATGGAACACACAACCCCAATCGCAATCCCCCACGCTCCAATCACCAACAGTATCCACCAATGGTACGAAACTGCCAACCAATCGGCGCGTGCAGTTTGGTATCGTTGAGCAGAGATATGAAATAACCGAGTGCACAATTTTGGATACAGCGGAGGTTCGTGTTTGCGCGTGGGTAACTCACGTGTTCGACATATGCTACCCGCGAACATATTTACCATGTCCGAAATGCACAGTGCGCCAAGCGACCAACATCATAGCGAGTACACTTTGTGCGTGTCACATGTACCTGCATGTCATGGTGACGCGCCATGTGTCACACTTCTAGGTTTGCGCGCCAAAAGTAGCGCAGATCCATACATCACTTCCGAGGTCACTGCCTTTCCAGCGCATCCCAAAACTGGCGGCACGCCTGGTTTCAAGCGTGGTCCTATTGTTCATAATATGGTAGCCACAGCATACCAACTTATTCCCATCTCGTAGCTTTACAGACACCCAAGCCTCCCGATCCGACATATCCCCTCTTGGGCGAGCCCGTGACAAGCAGTGTGCTTCGAAGGGCGGATCTCAGCGCGGAGTTAAGGGTTGCAACACTGGTGGCGATGGAGACGTTACGGAGGTCGGAAGTATAGCGCGTTGCCTCCGTAGCGGTAGGCGTCAAACCAGCACCGAAAACAATACCAAGAAAGAAGGCATGGAGCCCGGCAGAGGTGATCTTCCCGCGCAGCTGTACAAGATGAAGCTGGAGACAGAGGCGGAGCTTCCAGAGCCTCACGACCTTGTCTATCGCTTACACACGGCAAAACACTCTGAGAAGATGAAGCTACTTACGCTGTTCAACGCGGATGGCGTGGGTTGTGTCGTTGAGGCGTCAGACATCATCACCATCGCAGACGGGAAGTGTGTAACCGACGCCATCGTTGACTTCCACAATGTGTGAGTGGCACCCTGACCTTATGTTCCACCAAGTACTCATTCAGTTTTGTGGCAGGGAGTGATCGTCATCATCGCCCTTTTCCTGACTGGTCAATGACCGGATTGCGCGCAGGTTGCTGAGCATTCGACACCTCAATACGCCCAACGGCAGTACATGGGCCGCGGTTGACAGCAAGGCTTTCGATTACTGCAACACGTTCAAAAAGCCTTACAGTATGGGCAACTCGGGACGAATTTTCGATGTGGACTACTTGGCCATTCCCATCTTCAAAAGGTTAGTAACGGTAATGAGTGGCTCCGGCTTCGTGGCAACAACCATGTAACCCGTGCTTTTAACCACCGCGGGTATCTGTTTTTCGCGCCATGTGGCAGTTCACACTACTCGCTGATGATCGTGCCATCCCCAAAGAGACTGCTGGGAGCCACGTCGGCGGCGGACACGACGCCTTTGGAGCTGATTCTACTCGACAGTTATGGCACGCACCGGGATGACCAGTCTGTGTTTGATGGCGTCAAACTGTAAGATGCCGTCTGCCGTAGGTGTTGCGTTAGTGAAATTGCCGTTACCCATGGTGAGGTCTGACAAGTGCTCTGTATTGTTCATGCACCAGGTTTCTGGAACTGACCGCCAAAGACCTGCACCCTGAGTGTGACGTGAACACTCTTGTGACCGCGCTGAGGGACGCCACGCCCGTACCCATGAAGGTGGGTGCTAGATCAATGTCTGACCTGTCATGTAGGCGGGCATACGTACAACGTCCCAGTGTGCTAACTGCCCCTGGGTGTATTTGACGTGCGTGCAGAAGCATAAGGTGCAGCAGCAGGACAACCAGCACGACTGTGGGATTTTTGTATGCCACTTCCTGAAAGTCCTTGTGGATACTGATTTCAAGACACTGCGCTCGTATCTGTACTTGGAGGGCGTCAGTTCGCTGGAGATGCGGCAGGCCATGCGGGGAGACCTATGCATGCATGCGTCTGACGAGCTTGTACCGGCGCTTGTGCAACTGGGGGTGGTCGTCCCGAAGCAACCCGCGCCCAGAGTTGCTAAGCACGGTGCCGTCCTAGATTCAGGAGGGGAGGACGGCAACACAAAGCTGACACGGATGCAGGTGGAGCACTACGGCATGAAGAGGGACATTGTGATATGGAAAGCAGCCATCACTGCCGTCGGAGCTGCTATGGGCTACAGTGTCGACGAGCTTCTTGCTTGAGCTGCCCACGTCTTGCAGGCGCAAGATTCAGGAGGGGACGCGGCGACACCTGGCTGCCAACGATCCACTGCACCCAACACCCCCAATCCCCGTGCAGGTGCGCGGCCAGGCGTTACAGACAGCCCCGTTTCCAAGGGCGATACGGATGTCAGTGTTGCCCAGGGCGGTGCGGGCATAGCCAAAGTCGAGCTAGGGGTGGTTCATCCGAGTCCATGCGCGCTGCCAGTGCCGGCCACGCATAGCTGGTCGCTGAAAGGCACTCCGGGAAGTGTGCCCACCGCGCACCATGCAAAGCATTCGGTCGTTCATGCTGGTGGGTCAAAGCCAGTGGTGTTGGCTATTCCGGCAAAGAAGAAACGCGACGCCACGGCTCCGTCAGGGAGCGATGCTGAGGGCGACGTGCCCGCTTGCAAGGGGAAGGGTAAGGGACAGGGACGGAGTTCAAAGTACAAGGGTGTGCGTAAGGAGAAGCGTGGTAAGTGGAGCGCAAAGATCTTATTCCGGGAGAAGAATAAGGCGAAGCGCGCGCAGATGAGGCTGGGTGCGTACAACAAGGAGCTGGAGGCTGCCACGGCGTACGCAGCCGCGGTGCACGTTGTCAAGGAAGGTAAACGTGTTTCGGGAACAGTGGATCTGTCGGATGAGGAAAAGGGGCTGCTGAAGGGGTGCACACTGTCAGAGGTCAAGCGGCTGGTTAAGGGCCGACAGTGGTTCCGATGGACGGAGTGGGAGGAGGCATTAGCGGACTGTCCGGAGGAGGAAACAGGAGGGGAGGGGGAAGAGCATTCTCAGTCGCAGGATGATGAGGAGGAGGATGTTGCTGGATGTGCCTCATAGGAGGGGGAGGAAGAGATAGAGTTGGAAGAGGAAGGGATGGGCGGTCCAGATGCGGAGGCAGGGCGGGGCACTCCACATGAACTCAATGAGGAGGCTGCTGAAGCGATGGATGGTGTGGCGGAATGTTAGAAACTAGAAGTGAACGAGAATGATTGAACTAGGAAAGTTGGGAGTACAAGTATGAAACCCTAGAGATTGTACCCCCTAAGGCTAAACCCACTACAGCCTACACATCACAAACATATACAATGTTTGACACACCCCCATAGGCAAAGTGGGAGACAACCAGATGGTCACAAGACCAGTCAAGGCAAAGCAAAGCAAAACAAGCTCAGGGTGGATCTCAAGGATACCACACAAATTCCGAGCACAAGCAAGCGGTCACAAGACCAGTTCACATGCAGTTTGATAATATAATAAGAGGTACAGTGATCACAACCTAGCAAGTGTAAGCATGTAGGTATATATATAGAGATCACAGTACAAGCAGAGTCAAGAAGTGAGCAAGTGAGGGACAGTAGGCACTAGGCCTAGAACAGTAAAGAAACGCTGATGATCACAAGGCTGAAGCGCCTTGGTGAACACATCAGCAGTATTGGCCCGAGTGGCCACGTAGGTAAGACGAAGCTGACCACGCTGCTGCAGCTCTCGAGCAAGGAAGTAGTGCAGAGCGATGTGCTTCGTTCTGTGCTCCAGTCTGTGCTCCTGACACAAGGCAAGGGCGGCCTTGTTGTCGACGTACACCACTGGAGGAGAACTAGGCCGCTCTCCCAGGTCAGTCAGCAGGTAGGTGAGCCAGCGTAGCTCCTGGGCAGCCATGGCTGTGGCGTAGATCTCAGCCTCACAACTGGAGCTGAGAACTGAAGACGAGCGTGTAGAACGCCAAGAAACTAAGCCAGAGCCAAGGCTGAAGGTGTAACCCTAAGACGACCGCTGAGTAGCCTGGTCGTCAGCCCAAGAAGCGTCTGAGTGTCCAGTGAGGAGAACGTCGCGCCGTCCTCCAAGCACAAGCCCCATGCCCGACGTACTGCACAAGTAGCGCAACACCCTCTTAGCGGCATCCATGTGCTCCTTCCGGTGACGGCCAGGAGCGACATAGCGTGCTAGGATGCTAAGAGGGTATGCAAGGTCAGGTCGAGTGCAAGTCATCAGGTACATGAGGCAGCCCACAAGCTCTGGATACGGGCCACTCGGCTCTACGGACTCATCCGAAGGCAGAGCTGAGAGCGAGTGACCGGTAGGCAGAGGAGTGGGCTGAGGCGAGGAGTACGTGAAGCGGAAGCGCTGAAGGACCTGCTGCACCATGTGTGACTGAGTCAAGGTGATGGTGCGCTGTGCTCTGTCCCGGGTGATCCGCAAGCCAAGATAGCTTGTCAGCTCACCCAGGTCTGTGCACGTGTGTCTCTTCTGCAGCTCCGACTTCAAGTGGGCGAGTGCCTCAGTGTCAGCAGTAGCAAAGACCAAGTCGTCTACGTACACTAGAACGTAGAACGGTGGCAGAGTGGTGTCGGTGCGTAGAAACAGCGACGGGTCAACAGTAGAAGGAGCAAACCCAAGAGCAGCAAGAGTAGTCCTCAGTGTGTCGTGCCACTCACGGGGTGCCTGGCGGAGACCGTAGACTGGCCGCCGGAGGCTCCACTGGGTACCAGGAGGGAACGACCCAGTGAAGCCAGGTGGACGGCGCAGCCAGATCTCCTCGTGCAGGCTGCCCTGTAGGAAAGCAGTGCTGAGAGTGGAGCTCGTAGTCACGCTGAGCAGCGACGTGCAGCAGAACCCGAAGAGTGGTCATCTTCGGGGTCGGGGAGAAGGTCTGGAAGAAGTCAACTCCCTCTCGCTGACTGAAGCCTCGTGCAACGTACCGCGCCTTGAAGACAGGCGGAGAACCCGGCGGCCGCTTCACCCTGAAAATCCACATGCCACTGACGATGTTCGCCCCAGGTGGGGGAACCTCGTCGACGTAGGTGCCTGTGGACTTCCAGGAAGCCATCTCTGCGTCCATGGCTGTCTGCCACTGAGAGGAGTAGAGACCCTCCATCGCCTCTGCGTAAGAGCGTGGGGTCGGGATGTCTGGTGCATCCGGGTCTCCCTCAGGGGCAATCAGCATGGACACGAGATGAGGTAAAGCAGCAGCAAAGCACTCAAACTCCTCCTGTCTGTCCTCAAGGACGTCCGTGCCAAGAGCACACTCACCCCCGACGGACGGAGGACAGACAGACTCAGACTCAGCAACAAGGCTAGCGGCGTAGTCTAGACGACAGGCGGCAGCAAAGTCAACAAGCTCAGCGACTAGAGCAGACGCAGCAGAGGACTCAAAGGTAGGGTCAGTGACAACAGTGGCAAGGAGACGCGCGACAGTAGGACTGGCAGCACGAGTAAGGTCTGACGGCGGGTCAGCAACGTCAGGAAGAGAGGACGCAGGAGGAGACGGCAGAGGGACATACTGTGGAGCAGTGGAAGGACGCAGGGTCATATAGTGAGTGCCAAGGACAGGAGGAGGACGCTGACGCGGAGCACGACGACCAGCGCCGACAGCGCGGACAGGCGACTCTGGACGCGACTCAGGCGACAGAGGACGAGACTCAGGCTCACGACGCTCAGTAAGACTACCCGTCGGCGCAGTGTAAGGAGAAGGACCAGGCAGCGGAGAGGCAGGCTGTAACTGTGACTGTGACTGGACAGGCGGTGGACTCAGTAGGGGAGGAGTAGGACCAGTAGAGGGCGGGAGACCAAGAACCTCCTGAAGGAGCGGAACGTAGTACGGCCGCGGCCGCTCAGCAACTCCAGCTCCAACCCCCTCAGCAGCTCCAGTCCCAGCAACTCCAGTACCTCCAGTACGAGCACCTCCAGGACCAGCAGCTCCAGCAGCTCCAGCACCAGCAGCACCACCAGCAGCACCAGCACCTCCAGCAGCTCCAGCAGCACCGCCAGCAGCAGCAGTGCCTCCAGCAGCTCCAGCACCAGCAGCACCTCCAGCAGCTCCAGTAGTACCAGCACCAGCAGCACCAGTACCAGTAGCACCTCCAGCAGCTCCAGCAGCACCTCCAGCAGCTCGAGCAGCACCAGCACCAGCAGCACCTCCAGCAGCACCAGCAGCACCGCCAGCAGCAGCAGCACCTCCAGCAGCTCCAGCAGCACCAGCACCAGTAGCACCTCCAGCAGCGCCAGCAGCACCGCCAGCAGCAGCAGCACCTCCAGCAGCTCCAGCAGCACCTCCAGCAGCTCCAGCAGCACCAGCACCAGCAGCACCTCCAGCAGCACCAGCAGCACCGCCAGCAGTAGCAGCACCTCCAGCAGCTCCAGCAGCACCAGCACCAGCAGCACCTCCAGCAGCGCCAGAGTCCGCGACACTAGTAGCGCCACTCCGGAGACTGCAGCGACGAGCGTACCACTCTTGGAGCCGCTGGGGAGAGGGCAGCTCCCGCCTAGGAGGGGAAGCACGAGCACGAGCTCCAGCAGCACCTCTCCTGAGGCTGCAGTACTGTAAGTACCACTCACGCAGCTGCTGTGAGGAAAGAGCGCCTCCAGGTGTAGCACTCTCAGTCGCAGCGCCCTCTGGCTCAGTACCCTCAGACGTAGCACTCCCAGGCTCAGCACCCCCAGACTCAGCACCCCCAGCACCCGCAGGCTCCACACCCCCAGACTCCGCAACCCCAGGCTCCGCACCCCCAGGCTCCGCACCCTCAGGCTCAGCACCCCTAGCAGGACGAGAGTCGACAGCTACCTCGACAGGCTCAACCGGGTCTACCTGGGACACACCTGAGGGAGCGGCACCCTGAGGGGGGAGGGGGTCTACCACAGCAGCACCTGGCGCGAGGAAGAGAGGCGGGGGGGGGGAGCGGGGCAGTGCGGTAGGGGAAGAGGCGGTAGTAGGGCACCGACTCGTCAAAAGTGACGTCCTGAGAGGGCAGGACACGGCGCGAGGTGGCGTGGTAAAACTGCCAACCAGACGCGTCCGGGACAAAGCCAAGGAAGACACAAGGAACAGCGCGGGAGGAGAGCTTGTCCGCGGACGTATCGCGGACAAAAGCACGAGATCCCCAGACCCGGAAACGCGACGCATCGCCAACCTTCCCCGTCCACAGCAGTGTGGGCGAGGTCTCCGGCAAGGAGACACGGGGCCAGAGGTTGAGCTGATGCGCGGCGTACCGGACCGCAAACGGCCACAGAAAGTGGGGGGCAGCCGCATGGATCAAGGAGGTACGAGCGACCTCCATGACCAAGCCAATGCGGCGCTCAGCAACCCCATTCTGCTGTGGAGAGGCCGGAAGCGTGAACGACTGCTCAATGCCCTCCCCCTGACAAAAGGCCCTCAAGAGGTCGGAGGAAAACTCCCCACCTCTGTCAGAGTGCAGACGCAGGACAGGAAAGTCCGAGTGGAACCTCTCGCTGAGCTGAAGACGAGCAGCGCGAATCCAAGGGATCAAAACATCAGGGACTTCACCCTTGGTGCGCAAGGGGAAGACCGTGGTGTAGCGCGAGTAGTCGTCAACAACTATCAAGAAGTACCTCTCGTGACCCTGTCCACGGACGCGGGCTGGGCCCCACACGTCCATGTGGAGCGTCTGCAGGGGAGCAGTCGTCGGGGGAAACGAGGAGGAGTGAGGAGCGGCGTGCTGCCGCCCCTCGACACAGGGAAGACAGGGAGGAGCAGGCGAGGGTGGGAGGGGAGGGAGAACCCTGGGAAGACCAGAGACAAGGTACCGGGAGTGCATGCCACGAAGGCGCTGCACTGACGGGTGACCAAGGCGGTGGTGCCAGAGGACGGTCTCGTGCGCCAAGGAGCGACACGAGCAGGGGGCCGACAGCTGACCTGACGCAGACGCAGACGCAGCTACCCGAGGGGACTCAGTGGTCAGTGTGTACAGGTCCGACCCCGGCTGCCGAGTGAAGGTAGCCAGGTGGCGACCCGTCCGAGCACACGTGCAGTGTGTCACGCGCTCGTAGGCAGGGGTGAACTGGTGGATTCCCCCGTCCTGGAGCGCACGACCCGCCACCAAGTT